GTCACATCAACCACGCAAGCACTGGCGTGGGAAAAAGCGTGGAGAACCCGAGGCTTCAACAACTCATGGGCAGGCCACCCTGGAAACTCCTCTTTACCTAACAGCGTAGACTGATAGGTTTCTAATGGGCTAAAAAGAGAGCAGCAAATGACTCCACAGGGGGGTCTGGGCGGGTGCCGGAAAGGGTGCCGCAGAAGTCGTTTTAAGCAAACAGTCACACACTTCGTGCTCTTCGACCTCCCAAAACTCCATTCCCGGGCCACATTCTGAATGCCCGGAGCCAACTGTAGGCCAATTCGTGCTCTTCGACTTCCCAGAACTCCATTCCCGGGCCACATTTTGAATGCCCGGAGCCAACTGTAGGCCACTTCGTGTCTTCGATTCCCAGAACTCCATTCCCGGGCCACATTTTGAATGCCCGGAGCCAACTGTAGGCCACTTCGTGGTCTTCGAGTTCCCAGAACTCCATTCCCGGGCCACATTTTGAATGCCCGGAGCCAACTGTAGGCCACTTCGTGCTCTTCGAGTTCCCAGAACTCCATTCCCGGGCCACATTTTGAATGCCCGGAGCCAACTGTAGGCCATTTCGTGGTCTTCGATTCCCAACTCCAACTAGCGCCACATTTTGAATGCTGAGGCAGGCTGATGCTGCGGTCGAGGCAGGCTGGGGCTGAGGCAGGCTGAGGCTGAGGCCGAGGCTGAAGGCAGACTGAGGCTGAGGCTGAAGCAGACTGAGGCTGAGGCTGAGGCAGGCTGAGGCTGAGGCTGAGCAGGCTGATGCTGAGGCAGGCTGAGGCTGAGGCTGAGGCAGGCTGAGGCTGAGGCAGGCTGAGGCTGAGGCAGGCTGAGGCTGAGGCCGAGGCTGAGGCTGAGGCAGAGGCTGAGGCTGAGGCTGAAGCAGGCTGAGGCTGAGGCTGAGGCAGGCTGAGGCTGAGGCAGGCTGAGGCTGAGGCTGAGGCAGGCTGAGGTTGAGGCTGTGGCTGCGACTGCCGTTGCCGCTGCGACTGTCATCGCGAATGCGACTACGACTGCGAGAACAGCAGAATTCTACAACTGGATTTTCATCTGAATCTTAAGGGGAATGCTTTCCGATATGCTTCTACACATCGCTGTTCGGTTGCTTTGCCGGGATAATTTAATTGTTTTTCAACACTGTGCGCTGCAACTCGTGGGTATCCTCGTCGTGCACGCACCAGGGCAGAGCAGTCAGCTGCCGATAGTTCTCAATAAATTGAAAGGCCATAGACTCCCTCCGCCATGTCGGGCACCGCGTAACCATGAGCACGTCCCAATCCTCCTCCTCAAACCTACGAAACCTTGCCTGGATCACGTTAAAGACTTTGGACTGCACGGCAACTCGGAACATGGCAGCTTTGCTCTCGAGCATCGTATTACGCGGAACCACAGGCCAGCACAGGGCGTCGAGCTGGCGCAGGAGATCGGTAGGGATACTGTAGTATGGGCACGCGGTAAGCACATGAAGCCCTCTGGCCTCAGCAGCACATACAGCCTTCGGCGGGAGGCACATCTGCATGACAAACGAAATGACCCAGAAAGCGAGCGAGTTGCATGCGTAAGTACTTTCGGTAAGCCCTAGATTTAGTGGCCGAACATGCCGAACTCTACACATATACTTAGAGGAGGGTTCCTTCCCAGACTTCATGCATCCACCAGGCCCGAGGTAGACGCTCAAGACCTTCCCGCGCGTCCCACGCCTCAAACTCCGAACGTTCATTTTGGCCGTGCGGAAGAGAGCAACGATCTCGTCGTCAGACATCTCTTGGGCGCGCACAATCTCACACTTGGCAAGATTGAGGTGGGGCCCTGTGCACTAGCTCGCGAGAAGGACAGTCCTCATGACCGCAGGAGCGGCTCGCAACTGGCCGGCGGCAAAGACTTGAACATCGTCGGCGAAAGCCCGGGGGATTGCCTGGAGCGGCGCCAACTTCTTGTGCGAAACGGGTCGAGACATAGCGCAAAAAGCGCCCCCGACATCGGGCGCCCCTGCTTTATCCCCTGGTTAATACGGCATCCTGGGAACCGCTGCCCACGCACACGGATTTCGGTAGAAATCTCGGAATGCATGATCAGGATCGCTTTGATAGAAAAAACCCAAGAACCCCTATCAACTTTCGCACATCTATGGACCACTCGTGGCGTAGCGATGGGAAGGCGGCGCGGAAGTCTAAGAAGAGCACGCCTGCGCAAGGGCCCCACGGTAGCAGACGTTCTCGAGCATGTCCGCTTCGAGGCGCAGAATGTTATCCAGCATGGGTCTCTTGCGAATGATGCCCGCCTGAGTGCCTAAGACGCCGCGCTGGCATTGCTGCTGAAGGGGCTCGGCAAGAGCCAACGACGCAATCTTATTGTCCGCGTTGCTGAGGGCGACGGGGCGAACCGCAGAGGCTTCACGGGTCACTTCGGGGAGGCTGGCTTCAACAAGCGCAGTGACCTTCGGTCGGGGGACTGCGAGGGACTCATTGAACCCGTGGCACACGCAGCTAGGAACACCTAGGCCCCCATACAAATGGGCAACACTGGGCCCCACAGAGCCGAGGCCGTCAGAGACAACATTCGGGTCGTTCACGACTGCGAGATGCACCTGATACAGAGCCTCATGAGCAGCTTCGCCAGCACAACACCATGCGCTATACGGTACCCCACCTGGACCTGTAGCGGGGCCCCGTCTACCATTCAGCTTGGAAACGAAGCTGTGGTAGTCGAGCTTCCACTCAATGCCAGGGGCAACTTGTTGCATCTCAGCGTCGAGAAATAACTTATGGTAGTGGCGTCCTTCCGCGAGTGGTTCTGCGGAATGAACTGCCCCCCCCCCCCCCCAATGATTGGCATGGTTGGCCGCGCTGGAGGCCGGGTCGGGCGGAGCGACGCCGGTGGCATCAGGGGCCACGGGCAGACAAATCTGACGACGTTTCGGAGACCACTGCCTAAGAAGTTGATGCAACCTACGAGAGCGCTCGTCATCAGGATCACCCCCGCGCTCAAGGTGGTCTCGAAGCTCGCGCTGCAGCATCGAAGCCTGCAACCTACCCATCTCTTGAGATAACTTCGGACTATCTCGAACAAGCAAACATATTCTACATCAACAGGAAGACTGAGATGAGGAAGAGCACGGACGCATTGGACTACTTCCCAAGACCTATTCCCACGAAGACCACGAACCAGCTTCATGCACACGGAGAGCCCCTGAGCATCGTTCCGGGGCCCATGCAGGAACATTCGGGCCATGATGGCGTCTTTGGCAACAAACATCGCATCTTGAAGGCCTTGAGCTTCTCGAAAGGGTCTAAAAGGAATTCGACAGACTGGATGGCCTCGGAGATCTCGCTGGAGAAGTCGGGGCGGTTCGCAATCCAAGCAGGCGTAGGACGGGCGTATGACGGGTCGTAGCGCCGCCAGGCGTAAACTGCAGCCACGCAGGAATGCGGTCGCTAGGCTGCTCGACGTCGCGGGCCGCGCCAATCGAGCCGCGCCGCGGCGTCGCGTCAAGCAAGTCTGGCGTCGAGGCGGGCACGTAGAAGCGGTCGAGCCCACCTAGACAGAGTGCCACATCCCCCCGCCTTCCCGACCTGAAAGTGGGCTCCATTTGGGCTATCTCGGCAAACTCTCCAACATATGTTGAGAACTTTCGAACCATGGCTTCGCGATCTGGTGTAGGCTCCCTCCCATCAGTGTAGCTCCTCATTCCCCCCCTCCTCCAAGAAATTCAAGTCGCCGCCCAAGATGGCCAGCGCCTGGTCTGGGGACAGCGCGCAATCAGTGGCAGCTAGAATGACTCCCTCCTTTTCCCTGTCCGTCAAAGTCGAGTCGAGATGCGCGCTGGTGATCTGACTAGTCCCCTGCCTCCCTGTTAAGGCTACTGAAAGACAGCGGCCTGCGGCAATGACGCGCCCCTGCACGTCGGAGAACTGAGGAGGACAGCGAGATGGTGATGCCACCAACAGCAGACGAATTACACAATGAAGCGAAGTGCAAAAAGCTGGGAAGCTCGCGTTCCAGAGAAACTGGATCTTCATCAGCCCCATGGGTTTCCTGCATCAATGCTGCTTGGCATTTTTGAACAAGACGTCTGAAAATTCGTTGTTTCTTCTTCTGACGGAGCGGATTCCCGTACGCACTTCCAAAACATGCGCGTGTATGCCAAGTAGCGAGCCCTAACGACTTCGCGATGCAAAACGGGCGGTGCTGCACAGGTGGAGCAGCGGCACTTCCCCCAGAGGCAGGAAGAGGGACAGGAACAGCGTTTCCATCCCCATGACGCGGAAGAACGAAACGAGATGAAGTGCAATCGGCCCTCTCACGAAGTTGAGATCGAAGCAAGCATCGACGAGCTGGCCCCGCAGCGAGCTCTGGTGAATGCACTTCCTGATTCTACTCCTGGCGCATAGACGAGACCACCGACTCCGCAAGCTTGCCGATGTCCCCGTCGGTGAGCCCATACTGGCGCAGGTTCGCACGGTTCGGCTCGATGTGAGGTTTCTCCCCTCCGAGCACAACCTTGAGCTCCACCATCTCGTCAACTAGGTCGCCGTTCACAATGAAGCAGAGGCCCATGGACTTGTTACAACGTAACTGCACATTGACGTTCCACGTGCTTGCCTTCAGCGTGCACCCCTTGATGTATTGCCAGATCTGCCCTACGACCCAGCCATTCCTCCTGACGTCGATTGGCTCGTCGGTGCCAACACGCAGCCTGTGCATGAAACCACTTTGATCACCCCAATCGCGCTCGAGCGAGCGCAGCTGCAGCAGCGCATTCTTGGCATCAAGAGCATCCTCGAACTGAATCACATACTCGCGCTTGCAACTCTTGGTGGCGGCCTCGCAACGGTCACGATATGACGGCGCCAACCGAGGCTTGAGTGACTGAAAATGCTTGGCAAAGGCCGATGCAATCAGCTTCACAGGAAACCCCCGAATCCAGATGCGCGCCTTGTCGCCTTCAGGCATTGGCGAAGCAGAAAAAGCTCGGAAACGATGACCTAGCCATACTTCGCGTACCCGAGGAAGACGCGGTAGATGGCGCAGGCGACAGGCTGCTGACCGTGGCCGCGAACTTACCGATGGATCCCTCCATCTTTCTAATCTTCTCATCCGTCTTGGCCGCGAGCAGATCGATATTCAGGCCGGTGTCGATCATGTCTTCATCAGCGTCAACCACGTGCGAGCCAGGACGCTGAACTCGTAGTGCGGCGATCTGTTCTTGCATCGCGCCAAACTTGCCATCTTGCTCTGCGATCTGTTCCTCCATGGTGTTGCGCATGCCCTGCATGTCGTTGGTGAGCGATGCCAACGCAGTGTCATGTCTCTGCACCGAAGCGACCACCATACCCATCTGCGACAAAAGCGTGTCCATCTTCGCATCAAGAGCCAT